AACGAGAAAGATACCCTGCTCAAACTCGAGGCCGACCTCCAGGCCACCAAGAAGGACCTGACTGACAAGAGCGAGTCCATCACGAACTGGCGCAATCGGGTGAAGGCCATGCAGGAGGCTGCCACCGCCCGTAGCGCCAAGAAGCGCAGAGCCGAGGGAGGTGGGGCCGCTGAAGGCCCTCCCGCAGGCGCCGCGCCCACGGCAGCGGCAGCGGCGCCAGCGGCCGCCGAGCCCAGCGCCGCGAGGCCCGCGGCGACGGCGCCCGCTGCCCCAGGCGAAGCAGGTGCCACCGCCCGCCAGCACAACGAGGCGATCGAGGCGGAGGTGCAGCGCATCAGGCGCGCCAAGGAGGCGGCGGTGGCGGCGGCGGCGCAGGCTGCGCAGGCCGCGGCCAGCGCCGTGGCGGGCCCAGCGGCCAGCGGCCAGGGGGCCGCGGCGGCGTCGGCGGCTTCGGCGTGACCCGAGCAGGGGGCCAGGTGCCCCAGGAGGTGCGTGAGGGCCCCCTCAGCTCACGCAGCCTCGACGTCTTCTGGGGGGCAGCAGGTTTCAACATCGTCGAGTTCGGCTACGAGTTCGGCTACGACAGCAGCGCCGAGTTCAGTCAGCACTTCCTCTTCCTCGACGGGATTTCAAGTGCACGAGGCCGGAGCTTCAGCAGGGGGAGCTCAGATCTCATCTCCGACACCTGGTCGTTCGAGGAGATCGCCAGTTGATTCACGTGGGGAGTCAACGCCAACGGCCACGCATATTTTCTTTAGCAATGTCACGTTTCTCGGGAGGAAAGCTTGGGACTACGTCTGTCATCTTCGCGCGCCCCGCAGCTTTCAGCACTTCGCTCTTTGCGAGACGCAAAGGGGAGAGAGCTGTATTGGAGAATGGCAGAGGAAGGCTCGCCTCGCCAAGTTTCGTTGCCAGGTGAACGCGGCTAGACCCACGGGGCCCCGCTGCCTCACAGCCTCGAGGCAATCGCGTGAGACGGGAGGTGGCGAGCTCTTTCTGTCCGAGGGTCATCGGCAAACACGCGCCTTGTCTCAGCACAGCAGTGAATTGTCCCAGTTATGCTCAGAGGGTAGGAGTATGCTCGACGGATTTCTCCCTGTAGTTCTGAGGCAGCAAGGGTACAGTATAGTTGTTTTCACCTTCTACGGGCACCATTCCCAGGGATACGCGGGTCAAAGCCTGGAGCGTCTGGCCAAGTTAGGGTCCATTTTGCAGGCCCTCTCTCTCTCCCGTGGGTGGTGCTCGGTGCTTTTAACATTCCTTCGTCTGAGCTTTCGTCGGGGGCCTCAGGGGGCTTTGTTGGGAAGATTTGGGCGTCTGTGCTCAAAGCCCCCATCGAGCACACGTGCGTTAGTAAGAGTGGAGCTTCTCACATTGACTATATACTGGCTTCGCCATCCGCCATTCCGCGCATACTAGGAGTGCAGGCGATTTTAGATGTGCCGTGGAAACCCCACTGCGCATTCGTGCTTCAGTTCAGGAGTTCGGGCGAGCAACTGATCACTCGTTCACTTTTGCTCCCAGAGAGGCTACCCAAGGTAGCCCGACCACAAGCCCAGGCGTTGAGTGGGTCCAGGTCCTCGCAGGCGCGGTCAAAACAGATCGCCCATCAGGCCCTGGCTAGGGAAAAACAGATTTCCATAGTTTCTGAATTGTTTGGGGACATTCTCGATCCTGCCTCACCAGTGGTTGATCGCAGCGTTCCCCAGCCTACTCGCGGTGCCGATCCATCCAGCATATGAGGTGGATCCGTGGGCTGGCGAGTCTAGCTTTGTCGGGCCTACGGTCCCCATCCACGCGTTCCCCCTCCTCGTCCTCGGCCTCCCCCTCTCTCGTCGCAGGAGGTGCTCAGGTGAATCTACCAGCCGCAGCGAATCCAGATACCGTTTCAGCTGTGGATGACAACAAGGACCCCCCCAGCGGGAGAGCTCCCCAGTTTAACGAGGCCCCTTCCCCTTCCAACTCCACTGCTCCTGCGGGTGCCCCTGCTTTCGCCCCCCCCCCCCCCCGATCTGTGGAACTTGGCTCGAGCTCAGGCAGGGTTTCAAGCGCAAGTTCTATCTCAGGTCTGGGAGCCAGTGAGGGCATCCCTCGCATTCAAAGTTGGAGGCTCGCACATCCTCCACGTCAGCAGTGCATGCGCGGCATGGATCAGCAGCGTCGAGCACGCGTACCGTGCCCATCATGACCTAGGGCCGTCGGACAAGCCGACTCGAGCTCAGGGTCCCAGGTTAGTCACTCATAGGGTACGTCAGAGTGAACACTATCGAGATATGGCGCTGCAGGACGTTTCGGCCAACTGGTGGGAACGAGTGCAGGTGGTGCTGCGCAAGCTGGCTCAGCATAAGCGGCGGGCGAACGGGCGTAGTCAGTCGGAGGCTCTCGCCGTGGCAGGGGCCAAGTTGGCAGGGCAGCCGCCAGGCTGCGCGTGCAAGTCCGCGGGCAGATCACCAGACGCCACCACGTGGACTTCCTGGCTCGCAGTTTTGCTCGAGCTCAG